ATATCGCTAGATGTATTGTATATCCGGGTACGAATTTAACACAATACAATGACTTAAATACACTTTTGTGAAGTTATGGATAATGCAACAATAATCCAAATAGGAAACAGACAAAGTATTCGTGCGACGGAAACCAAGAAACTACCCATTCCGTTCGTCCTGATTTACATAAACCACTAGAAAGTTACAAATGCAGCGTCAGTTCGAGCATTGATTATTCAGATGTCCACGGATGTCCGAGAATAAGAAAAAGGAGAATGGCCACGGGAACAGCCAGTGTCCACTTAGTACCCGCTACCATGAATTTAGTCGGGACGAATATTGGCGCGCTGCTAGGGTGACCAGTGCCAACGAAACTTCAAGTACCCGCGTTATTTAAGAGGGCACGAGATACGTACATTCGGGTTCTATCGTCGACCACTGGAGATTCCATCCGCCATAAAACGGAGAAAAGTGGAAACTTCCCTTTCGGGAGAAGGAAAGAGCAAGGAGATATTGCGAAGGTCTAAAGCCGTCGTCCTTTCTTTTTTTTTTCTTCTCACTTCAGTGTTCTGCACCTTTTTTTTACTTAAGGTCAGAACTAGCGCGTCCGGACTCCGACGCGGTCGGTAGAAAATTTCGAGTTTACCCCCGAATTTCTTGTTGATCTTTCATCTCCCGGTTCTCGGGAGCGGCGAGTTATCGGAAATTCAGTGAAGTAAAAAGTTACTAGATTCGCGCGATAAATCTAGTTATTCGATCGCCAAGTGGTTCCCGCTAGATAAGAATAAAGTTTCACGGGAATACGCCGGAGCCGCCATTGACCTGACGTATAGAACTTCGATTTAGGCACGTCCACGTAATCAGCTGCCTAATGAGCCGAATCTAGAACTACAGGCTGTTTCCGTAATGGCGGATCTTTGACCAGGCACGTCCGAGGGATCATAAATCACGGATCATTTGCAAAGAGCGAAAGTGACCTGACAAAACCAGCGAATTTGGATATTTTCTTGTCGGCACTAAATTCTTGTTTGATCCGTAACATTGTAATATGGATTATTAGTCAATGAAAATTTATAGGATATTTCTGCAGAGAAAATTTTTAGTCACTGTAATATCGTTGCTATTACGCTCGCGTGCTCAATACTCGAAAGTAGTTACTTACTTTTATTGCCGCGTAAACTGACACGTAATTTCTGCAAGCGCAGCTCTCGAAAACGTCGAACTTTAAACATATCGACGGTGTGTGACTATGACTATAATACGTCGATAAATAGCGTTTTCAGAATCGTGCCAGTCGTGCAATCACGTTAGGGTTGGGTACGTATTAAGATCTTAGCGCATACGACGCATGAGTCGACCACTTAAAATGGAAACGTCGAGAAAATCATGCCTGAGGGGTTAAATTGGAATATCGCACACTCAATGGAATCAAATCAGTTTGAATCGGTATAGTAGCCCAATCTCGAAGAGAGAGAGAGAGAGAGAGAGAGAGAGAGAGAGAGAGAGATATAGGAATATTTCGATTAAAGTACTAAGAATTCACAGAGGGGAAATAAAGCCAGCGTTCGAAAGAGCAAGTCCAATTATATCTGAGAATCATTTTTTTTTTATTTCTGTGGCATTTCTGTATCAGAATTTTAAAATTTATCAATTTTATTACTTAAAAAAATAGGATAAAATATCAAATTTCATTAATTACTTTTTTGTCAAAAAATTTTGAGTTAAATAGAAGTATCTCGTCTTTTTTTTATTACTTGTATTCTTTTTAATTTTATTTTATACATATTTTAAATAACATAAAAATTGTCATTAATACATATACGAATATATGAGTAATTTATTTTTTGAAAAATTACATTACATTTTCTATAATACATTTGTGATTGACTAACTGACTTTGGTTGGAGCTTACATCTGATACAGCTACTTATGTGTATCTAATGATGTAAATGCAAATCGACATATAACGATTTTATGCATTATAGATGATACTGTTCATCCTGATTTTCATTTGAATATATTATTTGTATATTATGTATCATATCAGAATCAATCAAAAACTCAACGTGATAAATTTCGATAAAAATACGATCGTATAGTTGTTCTTTCATCCAGTATCATTCCATGTCTGAATCAACTTCATCTCCGCAAGCTTTCTTTGAAATCTTTTTTTTTCTCTTTTATGGAATCCGCTCCGTACGAAAACCATCGCCATAGATCTACAATAGCTCTTCAATTTTTCAACCAGATATTCTTGATATAACCGCTTCAAAACGTTGGGAGCAATTCTTCCAATCGATCCCCGATATCTTGAATCTCGATTCCTCCTCTCGCTCTCTCTTAAATCTCGAAAACTACGTCCACAGCGCGGACAAGTATTGACAGAAAAGCAGTGACAGCTTCTCGTGTCGCTTAAAATCCAATATAAAATTAATATTCTGCTGAAGGCAATTTATTATAGTTCTAAAAAGAGAATATGAAGTATAGATCCAGCATCATTTTAAAATACCGTGTCGTATATACGCATTGTAATCATTCTGTGCTAGAATAAATTATTTATGAAACGATTATTATATATTTATATGTCCAAAAATAGCTTTTGTTCTGAGCTTTTGTCGGAATTATTTATTCGCGAACTTCAATTTACTTATCTTGTCAGAGTCAAAATTATATTTTCAGGTATCTGGCAATAAACATGATAATTAATATTTTTTAAGGGATCGAATTTTCTGTAATTGAAAAATGTATTCAATCGTATTACGAAAAACTTTGCATGTTCTGAGTAGGATCATAAACAGCAGTT